GGAATGCCTTTCCTCAAATGGTGGAAGGAGGCCATGTGATTGTGATGCTCCACGTGTGACTCTTCCGGATGTGGACTTCTTCCGAGGCTGAACTAACTCGTCCTCCTCGCCTAAGAAAGCCAGCTACATACAGGAGCAGGCTTGTCACTCTGCGCCAGAGCCAGAAGCAAGTCGGGGGCCCCTGCCACTCGTGTTCCCGTCCTCCACTACAAACGTCTGAGTCCCGGCGCCAGGGATTTTTAAAGATCCTTTGGTGAAAGTGCCATAAATCCGAATTATTATTTCACACCATGCGACGTGGCATAAAGGCAAGAATGTGTTTCAACGGGGAGCTTGCAACAATGGAGGTCATATATTTCTGGAACCTTCATCAGCAAGGAAGAGGGAGTGGGTGGCTTCGGCGATTTCTTTAAATGCTAAAATGAGGTCCATCTGTGCAAAACTGACGGCCACTCACATTTTTGCTTCCTGCAATGCATCCGAGAGGCTCAGGCCGTTCTACTGTCTAGTCAGTCCGAAAGCCACGTCAAATTGCCTTAAACATCCCTGAGCATTCAGTACACATGCACTCGTTCAATTAATTACATCATTTAAAATTTCTACGCACATTAGAGCCTTAAAACATTTTACGGTCATTTTTATTAATTAATAAAGCTTTAATGGACAAAAAATTGCACCATAAAATTATCGTGCATATGCTGCGTTTTCAATTTCGCCGATATTATCTTTAAATACTTCCCTCAAGGAGAAGGTCGCTGATTCATAACCCAGAGTGTCTCGCAGAAAGCAAAGCAGAAAATCGGAAGCTTACGCAGAGAAAGAACGAACTCTGGCCTCTGGCTAAGGCTTGCTCCTCCAACTCCACCAGCTGATTATGGCCAGAAAACACAACGCAGGAAACAAAAAACTGCCACTTCTGCCTTGTGACATGGAGAGTCCCCAGTTTGCCCCATTTCGAAAATGTCCCGTAATTACTAAAGATACACACACACGTACCCACACGCACGCACATGCATCTTCCACGGAGCCGCGGGGTCTAGGTTCTCAGGCCAACTCATACGTAACGGCGATCTGATTGACAGGTTAAGAGTGGCCGCGCTCGGGCACTTTCGGACGTGCAGACGCTGGGACCGAAGGGACAAAACCCCGGGGCAGACGGCGTTTGTTCTCCTCGGGCCCTTTCCGAACGACGCCCACAGAGGCAAACTCGGTCACGGGCTCTGCTCTCCTGCTCGTCACACGTGCTCTGGGAGCATCACTGGAAAGTATCATCTGAGACGACGTCCCCCCACCCAGACATCCATGCTCAGCTATCAGTGACCATTTCGGAGCAGAGCAGGTAAAGCGGCTCTACTGAAAACCACCTCCTGGAATCAGTTACGGAGAAGCAGCTCGCTCGCCGCTGCGGCTGGGCACTGACACCCAAGGCCGGACGGCCCCCTGCCGAGGACGCGTGCGACACTCACCTGCCGCGTAACTCCAGCCAGGAATGTGAATGGACAGCTGGCTGGCGTGAAGGCTGGACGGATGGACGCCGTGGCCCTCCTTCCCGTTCCTGACAGTGGCCTGGTGAGTTCCCACATCTACAAATTCTGGATTTTCCAACAGGGGGGAGCCACCCCAAGGACACGTGCCGGTCCCCAGATGCACCTGTGCCAACGATGGGTGTTGCTTCAAGAAAGGTCCCCGCACAGCCGGCTTCCGGCGCCGGCCCAGGAGGCTCTGGCTTTCCCTCGGGAGCTCCTGCTGCAGGTCACGGCTCCCAGGCCCTCCTCCCATCGCTGTGCCAGCTGCTCCACCTGCTGTCAGGCCGTGTGAACTGCAACTCAGGTTGAGCGACAGGACAGATCTGTGTACTTTAGGGCCGGCCAGTTGAGGTGGCTCGATGGGGACGGAGAGGGACCTGTCTAGATAGTAGATGGAGTTCGGACACTGCTGGGACACTCGGAGATGGACACAGGAGCTGAACACCAGCCGGCCCTTTCCCGGCTGTGCGGCGCCTGGAGCGAACCTGTGCCCTCTGCCGTCCAGCTTGGTGACCCAGCACTCGGGGCCCTCACACAGCCGTGCGCGGGCCTCTGGGAACTCCAGTCTCATCACAGAGCTGTTTCTGGATAATTCCGTGCAGGTGAAAGGTCCCTCGTGGCGACAAGGGCCGGCGCCAGTGGCCAGAGCGGAAGGCTCCTCAAGCAGAGTGTCCTGGGCCTGGCACTTGGTGTAGAGCGAGGCCCTTGCGGCCCCCCATACCACGGTGCGGGCCGGGGGGCCCAGGCGCCTGGCTGTGATGGTGATGGACGCGAACCCCTTTGGGGGGCCGCTGCAGGGCTTCTCCTTGGGGGGCAGCTCTGTCTCAGGTCCTCGCGCCTCCGCCGGCGTCTGAATTTCTAATCTGCCAGGAAGGAACGCGAAGGCGCTGTTCACGGAGACTCCGCCGGGATTAGCCAGAGGTGGCCTCGTGGGACACGTGTGAGGCTGGGCGACCGTGCTCGGCGCAGGCGAGGCCGCCCCGTCTGCTTCAGACTTGTGCTCATCGATCAGCTGGGAGATGACTATGGATGAAATCATCTTCGTGTTTTGTGATGCCAGAGTGTCCTGCAAACGGAAAAAGATCGCAATTACTCGAGCTGTCTGCTGTGATGCACTGAACTCTTTTGAGAGCCAGCAGGGCACTGAACCCAGCTCTCCGGTCCCAGGCTTATACCACACTCCTGACCCCACCTCTGAGCTTTCCATCCGAAGGGCGGGCCCCCCAGACCTGTTTGTGAACCGATCATATCTCCTGGAAATGTCCCTGGGACCAGGGAGATGGTTTTCCTCCGACAGGTGTCTAGTCCTGATTTATTCAACAGCGTTTGTGTGGCGGGGACCATTGCATTTCAATAATCGCCTCCAGCAGACCCAGCAGCACCTGACACCGGCTCCCTGCCCCCTCGTGGAGGAGAGAAAAAGTTCTGGGGGACGGCTGGGCTGGGGGCCACCGGTTTGTGTGGAGACGAGTCTGCACTCCTCCATAGAAACAGCAGATGTATGGGGGACCCCTCACTGCCGCGGCCTCCAGCTCCCCAATGGGAACCCCCACCTCTGCGGGTCTAGACGGATTCAGTCGCTCCCCACATCCGCCCTCATGGGGTCAAGTCCCAGAGAGAGGAACTATGGCAATCATACTCTTGAGGTTGATGATTGCCCAGGATGCTACGCGACCATAATAATTCATCAGGACAGAGTGGGGTGGAGATTAGGACCAAGACCGATGTGGCTTCGCTGCGTTTCAATGCGCCATTGCCTAAAACGGGTCTCTGTCCATACGATGCTCGAGGCGTTTCATGCTTCCTCACCGGCAGGTGGTCGTCCCGACGGACCCAAACAAGAGCTGTGACGTTTAAAAGAGCATCCGCCGAGGCGGAGACCAGGAGGAAGAATCCCTTCCGTCCTTGTTCCGTTCGGTCACGTGCATGATGAGCGCCCTCCAGAAAGCTCTGGAGATGCACGCAGGGTCCCAGCCCCTTTTCGACGTCCATTATTCACGCAACTGCACGGGACTCGAAATAACACCGGCCACTACTCAAGCCCCACCGCCCGCCAGTCTCGGCCTTGGAGCCTGCAGGGAAGGCGCCACCGGCGCTCGGCGCCTGGGCAGCAGCTCCGACTCCAAGGTGCCTGGGAATCACCGGGAGCGCTATGGAGGCGGGCGCCGCCGGCCCCGGCGCGTCTGACTCTGCAGTTCTGCGGTGGGGCCCGGGCGGCGGCCTTCTGACCTTCAGCCCCGTGATTCTGCAGGGGGTGACCCGGGGAGCACCCTCTGAGAAACGGGAACAGAGTCGCGGGGCTGCCGGCCTCCTCAAGGAGGGGAGGGGCCTGCCTTCGATGACAGCAAAGCACTCGTTTTTCTTTCCCCAATGATATTTTTACTCAACTGAGGTAACGCCCCCCCCACCCCCCGCAGCTGGACTCAGCCCACGTGCGGCCTTCGCGCCCGAGGCTCCTCCGTCTTCACCGCAGACGTAGAAGATGGGCAGCTTGTCTTTCCCGGTTCTTCTTTCGGTCTTGTTTTTCATGGCGAAATCCATCGCCTCACGTGTGGTCATATGTCACAGATATGTGGGAAGTTGCGAATTCAAAAGATGCCAAGGCATAGGTGAAGAAGTGGCTAGAGAGTCACCTTAAAACTTACTTCATTTTTTAAAAAATTGAAATGTCGCTGGCTACCCTTTTCCAGATGGCAATATGAGCCAGGCTCTGCCTGAAACTCGTTTGTGGTCCTCAGTCCAGGTAACACACGGAAGTCACCCGAGCGCTTGTAAAACCCCACTGCCCAGCCTCGTTCCTAAACAATCACATTAGAACCCGTGGGGTGAGGCCCAGTCATGTGTTTCTAAAGCAGGGGGTCCCCAACCCCCGGGGGCCGTGGTCCGGTACCGTCCGTGGCCTGTTGGAAATCAGGCTGCACAGCAGGAGGTAAGTGGCGGGCAAGTGAGCGAAGCTTCGTCTGTATCTGCAGCCGCTCCCCAGCGCCGGCATCACCGCCTCAGCTCCGCCTCAGAGCATCAGGCGTTAGATTCTCACAGGAGCACAGGTGCCTGGTGCCAGAAAGGTTGGGGACGGCTGGTGTAGAGCTTCCAGTGATCCCAGTGGGTAGGCGATGTTGAGAATACCTTCTGATGCTTCTCGTCTGTCCCTTCCTTCTGTCTGTACAGCACGTTTCACGACTGTGGTTTATATACGAGAAAACTGAAGTGCTCCTGGTGCCTACCCCAGGGCGTTTGATTTGGTAGGCAATCCCTCACATTTTAGTTAAATTTAGTCCTGATTAGCCTTGTCCCTGTACACCCTACACAGTGCATAACCACACGCAGTAGGGACTCCTTTGATGCTGGTCCTTGAAGAGAAAAACAAACACCCATCTTGAAAACTGTGCAGCGCTTGTTTTAATCCACAGAGCGATGTTTCCCAAAGTTTGGGCCAGTGACCACCTGCATCAACAACGCCTGGAGGGCGTGGTTTTAAAATGCAGATTTCTGGGCCCCTTCCTCCCTAAACTTAGGAGAAATCAGGATATGTGGAGATAAGGCCTGGGGCTAGCACGTTTAACCAGCTGCAGAGGATGCTGCTGCTCAGATAAGGGGAAGGGATATGGGCTGGGACTCGGACCTCCTGGAGTCCGTCCTGAGCCCGGGGCTCCCAGACTGGCCCCCAGACCCTGGAGCAGCCTTGTTCCCACAGCTGTAAAGCAAGAAGGCAGAGTGAGTCCCATGGAGACGCTAGGCTTCCTCGCATGCTGGTCTCCAACACCGAGTGGGTACCCGACTCCTGGGGTCAGGATCTCACGAGAGCCTCGGCCCTGGTACAAACAAACGACGGGCACCAGAAACAAGGGCTGTGTCCCTCGGAGTGAGTGAACATCATCTCAGCCTGGAACAAGGACAGAAAAGCCGCTGACTGTGACCGTGTCAACCTGGCTCCACGCCTGGAAGGAGACAGGGAGCCACCCCGGGACCCCACCGCCAGGAGCCCAGGGCTTCGAGCACTGGTGGGGGACTCGGCAGCTAACCGGAGCTGTGGGTGTCACTGTCACTGCAGGAGAGCTTAGAGGCCTAGAAGGATGCGCTGAAGACTTGACCACCATTTCTTAGTCTGGGCCCAGCAAGTGCGGCTGTGACATCGATCCCATCAGGTACAAACAGAGGAGGAAGGAGCGACAAAGAATGACATGAATTTGAACTTCTTGCTGAAGCTTCAAAATTGCTGAGCATGTCAGGGTGACAATGACCTGGGCGGTAAATGCCGGTGGAAGCCCAGTTCCAAAGAAAAATCTGTTTTCCTTTTCTACCTCGCAGGGAAGTTTTGGAGATAAAAAACGATGATGGATGTGAATGTACCTCTCAAAATATGAACATGTCATGAAACTCCAGGGTCTGACTTTTCCATGATTCAGCAGACATCGGCGCTATCTGATACAGCCAAACCTATGGAGGAATGAAGGAGCCTTTCCATCGAAGTTACACCGTCTGTCGGTGGAATTTATAATGAATGCACGTGAGTTGATTTGAATTGTTTAATGGACATAACCCACTGCGTACCCAATACGTCGAAATTTTGCTGCTGTGACTGTACAATGAATGGAATCTTTTCGGAAGTGAACTCTGTTCCCTAACGGAGTCGTGGCCAAAACATTTGTTCATTCGCTCACCAGACGACTATTTCTTCAGCACCTACTAGGTGCCAGCCTCCGGCCTCGGGGAGTTAACAGACTGAAGACGACACCCAGAAGGCGATCGGATAACCAGGACGGGGTTATTAGGGTCCATCCTTCTGTTTTCTCAGGTGTTTAGATTCGGCTTTGGAAAAAACCCAACCAATAAACAGAAATTGAAGAGGAAACACTGCCTTTTTGCTCGGTAACATACATCGTAGTCTTGTCTGGGAGGTTCTACTTATCAAATCCTATTTTCTCATCGCGACCCATTAAATGATGAAAGATAAGGTCTGACCTTTCAGAACTCAGTTCCCGGTTGGCTCGGGCTGCCGCAGTGAAGCAGCACGGTCTGGGGGGGCTCAAGCAGCAGAAACTGATTTCCTCGCAAGTCTAGAGGCCGGAGGTCTGAGACCGCGGTGTCGACAGCGTTCGCTCCCTCTCGGTCCTCTCCCCTCGCCGTGTAGACGGCCGTCTCTCCCCGAGTCCTCGCGTGCTTCTCCTCTGTGCTTGTCGACGTCCCGATCTCTTCTTATGAAGACGCCGGCCCTATGGGATCAGGGCCCATGCCAGGGACCTCATTCAACCTTCAGCACCTCTTTCGAGACCCCCATCTCCAAATACACTCACATTCTGAGGTCCTGGGAGGTTAGGACTTTGATATCTAAACTGGGGAGCGGGGTTGGGGGCACACAGTTCAGCCTGTAACAGACTGGAATACATCACTCTGTGTCAAATTCTTCTGCTGGGGCTGGGAAAGCAAGCCGGAGATGAAACAGAGGGGCCGTTTCATGTTCCCAAGTCGGCCTGCGACTTGTACAACAGCGAATTTTCCTTAGAAAGTAATCGCATCTTTCACATCAAATGTCTTCCCCAATTAGGCTATTTCGGTGTCCTCTATACTGGGTTAACTGAACACGGCTTTGAAAGAAAATATCTTTTATCTAAAATAAAATTAACTAATGTAAGATCTGGTTTGAAAGGGAAAAAACGGTCTGGTGTTTAAAGGAGAACGTTCAAGGTCAGAGAGAAGCCAGATGAATCGCGGATGTTCGTCTTGCCTCGGTGTCAATCACGCATTTTCCGACCAGCAGCTCTCAACACTCGCGCCGCTGCGTTTTCTTTAAATGCTGTTTCAGATGTTGATCTCTTTCAACCGTTTCCGATGTGATCTCATAATGCTGGTAACTGCCCCCCCCCCAGTTTTATACGTTTTATTGACTGTTTTTAACGTTATATTTACGCCTTAAGGCCTATTGCTGAGAAGGACATCATTTCTTCAATTGAAGTAGGGCAGACAGAGGCAGCGGTCGCTCAGAGACATCAGGCCTGAACCACCGGAGTGAGGGGCTTCTGTTCCCATAGCAATTTATTTCTCCAAAGGATGAGCATCTCATCCAAGCTATAGCGTCGAAATATATATTTTCCTCCACGAGACGATTCCTTTCCTTCTCGTGCCCGCTCTGCAGCGTACAGCTGTCTTTGCTGGATGGGCCCTTCGGCCCCATCTCCCCCCAGATACACCCTCCGGTTCCCCGCACGTTAGCTGGGAGCACGCTTACTGCCCTCGGCACCACTGTGCGGGGTCGACGCCGGGGCCCTGGGAACCTCTTCCATTGCACGAGTTCGCTCTCGTCTGTAGCAACAGGAAAAGACGGTCGTAAGACAAATGGGAAAATTGGAGCTTCTCTCCCTCTCCATCCGGAAACTTCTGCCTTTCCACGCATTTACCAAAAACCCAGGATGTGCTAAAGTATAATGTATAACGGTGAAGAGCCGGTAAGAATCAAAAAGTTTTTTTGAAAGGGGACTGGGCGAGTAAAACGTGGCACGACTGCGTCGTATTCTGCAGAAGTTACAAATGAAGGTCACGAAGAATTTAAATGGCGTGAGACCGTGCCTATGACAGATGTCATGTAAGATAAGAGGGCTATAAAAGTTGATATATGTTAGTCACATGTAAAAAAAAAAAATGCATGAAAAAAATAGGGAAATATTTTCTTATTTACACATTTTCTGCATTTTCCTAAGTGTCTACATGGAGTCGCCATCGCTTTTGTTATAAGGGAAATTGAAACATTGTTTTTTTTAAAAGCAAAAAACTCAATTCCTATTTCATTCCTTTTAAATAATCACTTGGCTGGAGAAATGCCTGCATATCATTTCCACAGCTTCGATGGATTTTGAAAGGAACAGGGACCAACGTCACGTGGGCTCTGGAGGAGAGGCGGGATTTATGGCAGTTACAGAGGGAGGGCTCGAAGGGCAGCCTTACAGCACACACGCAAGAACAGGCTGCACCAGCTCAGAGCGAGAGGGAAATTTGAAAGTCACGCTGCCGATCTGATCCAACTAGATGATCCCGGTCATCCCGAAGCGGTTGTGTGGAAGGTGTGATTTCTGGGAGTGACTCGACTGAGTCCCAGATAATGACCAAGTGTGAATGTGTGTGCGTGTTACAGAGACCCAAACGCATGCCCCGCACCTCCCCCAAATCTAGATCATTAATGACCAAACTGGTTCATTTTAACATCGACAGGAAAAGACTGCACCTTGCCTGCTCAAAGGGCAAAACAGGTGGGAAAGACCTTCCGCTGGCATCTTTCTTAACAGGAATGGCCACTGCCCTGGGCACTGACCCTTTCTTAACTGAGCTGCTGTCTCCTCCCAGAGAAGGTTCTCCACGCCCCGCTCCTCCCCGCCCCGGGGTGCCTGCTCCCGCTCTCCGGGGTGAGCTTGGTGCCTCCACGTGGAAAGGTTTCCAAACACTGATGACATCTCAGGACCCAGAATGGCATGCTTTCTCCATCATGTGGGATTTCAGCCTCGGGGGCCCGGAGGGAATTGTGGGGTTTTATTAAACGCGGAGCTAAATCAAAGGGTAATACCTAAAACAAGCACTTGTGGGGAGGGGGAGAGTATGTTTTACAGATACTCTTGCTACCTTAATCCTTCATGAAAGAGCAATTCTTATAATTCCCCTCGTTCTCAGGACTTACAAAAGTTGGCAGCGGAATACCCATTTCTGAAAGACGACAGACGTCTTGTGAACAGTGGCGTCTCTGACAACTCTTTCAGGCAGGGAAGTCCATGTTTTAAGTTCTGTTAACTGGAATAAGCCTCTTCCATGCCAACCCTTTAGAGCCGGGTAAGAACAGCAGTTCTGGAGGCAGACAGCTTAGGAGCTGTGAGATGTGGGGCACGTCACCTCCTGCAGGTACTAGAGACTTAGTTGCCTCACCTGCAAAATCGGGATGACAACACCGCCTCCCTCCTAGGGTTGTGGAAAGGACTCAGAGTCCTTTGACGGAGACTGACACGTGATACGCTGGCCGTTCTGAGCACTGTACACAGAGCATTTTGTTCTCTAGAATCAGGAACAATTCATTTTACAAATATGACCTTTAAATTTCTTTCCGATTTGAGACCACCGATAGAGACCTTTTGCTGTTATAACCACCTGTCCTAGCTGTTAGATTTCAAATTACCTCATCTCCGCCTTTGAAATGCTATATGGCATTATTCTCTCTTTCCGGCAGATTAATTTTGGTTTAAGATTGAGATTCAATCACTATAGTCTCCTCTGACACTGCAAATTTACAAACTGTTGGTGAGGATTATGAAAGGATAATTGAATATACACTGCACGCTTTAATGTAACAAGTCTGAGTCATCGATGGTTAGATTTTTCTGCCGCGTTAATTCAATTTTGGACCAAGCAAAATAAAATGCGAACACATCCTAAGTAGGTCAGTGATCACGTTTTATAGCTGGCTGCGTCGTGCTCACTATTCTAGAAGTTAGAGACATCTGTTACCTTGGTGAAGTCAGATTTCTTCTCCGTAACATCAGACTGGAGGTTTTTAAGGGCAAGTGGATCGTTTGCGCTGTACTGGTAGTCCCGTAATCCTAGGCAAAGAAGACATTGCTACATTTTAGTGTATAAAAAGATACAATGGAGAACGTAACTTTCCTATAAAATTTAATGTCACCCACTCAGGTATTAAACTAGCCGGCAGCAACTCCAGTACATCCTGACCCATCCGTTTATTTCTCCCTCCGCCGTCTAAGGTCTCTGAGTTATTATTTGGTTTGTTCGGCTGTGAGACTTCTTCCACGTAGTTATGTTCCTAGACTCAGCCCGCTCCCATTCATCCGTGTCCTGAGTTTCTACCCAGCCGGAGAGAGAATCACATCTGCGGATTTCTTAGCCCCACCCGAGTTAGGAAAGGCTGACATACAAGACCAGGCTTCATCCAGCCTCTCGACACCACCATTCTCGAAGGAGTAAAGAGTGACTCAGACACCGACATTTGCGGCATCCGAGGATCACCGGCTCAGAAGAAATGAGACGTCATGGACAGCCCTCCGCATAAACGCGTCCCCCGGGGAGAGCTGCTTGTGTCATCGGGCCCACGTGCACACAGCAGAGGACCAACACCTGGAGGAACCAGCTTGTAGCCCTGGCTGCACCATCGACTGGCTTGGTGACAAGGGACAAGCCTCTGAAACTGCTCCGTGGCCTTTCCTCATCCACACGTCCTCCCTGGATCCTCCGCAAGAGCACCCCTAGAAGCAGA